ACGATTGGTTTATGATTATTTGATCTGCGCCAACTTATCTACTTTGTATTTTGTGTCTTTCTTACTGTAGAATGATGGACTTCCAATTGTTTGAAAATGGACTTATAACCCTTCCCAGTTTGATGGGCAGCAACAATTGCTTCTCTAAGATCACTGATGATGTCTTTCCTCCTTGGCATTGTGTGCAACACACAGTTGAATGCTCCAGACCAGCAAACTGCTAAAATGTTTTTTTTAGAGGTGGTCACTGTGAGAAACTACCCTTAAAAACCCTGTGATTTTCCTCTTCCCTGTTATTTGATATTTATTTGGTGGTTGGATCTTCCAAATGCAGACCACTTCCTGGCTCATTATCTTGAAAGTAAGCACAAACTTAAGTGCTTTTTCTAGGCATCCGCCGTTCCTATAACCAAACAACACTTGCGCTGGAAAATGGTGGCCATCTTGTCTCCCGAACACGGGCAGCGGTACTTACCGCCCCGCTTCTATTCCAGACAAACTAGGAGAGCACTATTTGGTAAAAAAGGCACGCATGAACTAGAAGAACAATTGTTACCTATGAGCCAGGGGAAATGTTCAGTATTTTATTTGTTTTGGGACTCCAAAAAAAGTGACCAACAGCTACCATTTTTCTTTTGGAACTATTTTGGGCAGACACCACATGTGTGGTCAGTTAAAACTTTACCCCAGTGGCGATTTGGCTGCATTTGTGCTATTTGGTCACTTTGGGAGCCCAGATCCAGGCTATCTAGTAATATAAGACTTTTGGGGGTCTCTATTAATGTTATGTATGTATTGGGGTATTTTATGGTTTATTTTCTGTAACTCTAGTGCCTGGGAGATACTTAATTTGTGGAAGATAAAAGAAAAAAAAAGTGGAGCCGAAATTTTGCAAATTGCCTCCTAGTTTGGGGAATAACCCCTAAATTTGAAAACACAAAACAAAAAGAGATTTGGAGGATGCAAAACACAAAAATGTTTAGAAAAGTTGGAATAGTCAAAAACGTATTTAAAACATTTTAATAGATCATGGATTAAAAATGTTCAAACGTGAACTCATGTTCATAACGTAAAACTAACAACAAATAATTTCAATACGTAATTAGAGCTATATTGATATAGTAGTTGCCGGCTGAAATAGCTGTAGTGTAGTTCCCTAATGACCCATCTGTACTCGTATAGAGTCAAAAGTGAAAATTTTTAACTAGCAACATGATTGTAAAGTAGCCATAAATATGGCCATAAATATAGACACAAAAAAACAAACATTAACTAACCAGCTACAATGAATAATATTGCTACTATTGTCATAATAGCAACAATTTCCATTATTGGAATGTCTGAAGCACTGGTGTGATTATATCAGCTGCAGTTGTAGCAGCAAAGCACATAGCAACGGTATTTGCTTGCTAATCCTGTAATAACAGGGATAAAGCCAGTTTGTTGATAATAGTAAGATACGCGCTGGTCACTACGAAATCAAAGGCACCCCAGGTGCCTGATACAAAATAAATAAAATACAGAATAAATACATGAAATAGGGTATCGTGGAGAGATCCTACTCATAAGGATAACAGTGGAGGTGATAGTAGGGCTATTCAAAGCTATACCTATTGTACCTTCGAGGGCACCCCTTTTCGCTAACAAAAGCTCACCCTGTCCTACCTTAAAAGGGTGTCCGCCTCCCCCCAGTAACCCTTAGAGCTAAGATAGCTAATAGATAAATTGCTATGGTATCAGCCAAAGTTCAGTAGTAAATCATAATTCTGTAGTTAAATATAGATCATAGTGCTAGTGATAGAAAAGATGCCTCTGACGCACGTTTCGCTTGCCAGCTCATCAGAGAGGAACCGGGCAGTATACACATATACACTGCCACGTACACACACACATATACAGATACACAGACATGCACACTAACAGATACAGACACACACTAACACACATACAGATACACAGACATTCAAACTCCAACACTTCACACAAATACATCCCTACATTCACACACACATACTCCATTTAAAACATGCTTACTTTCAAAGATATACAACACTGCTGGGGGCTAAGTACAAACCTTCAAGGATGGGCAAATGGTAGATACCCATCTGGCAAAGTATTGTGGTAGTTGTACGAAAGATGGGGATCTACCTTTTTTTCCATCCTTACGTTAGGTGGACCTAAAAAAAATCTTGCACTAGAACCCGCTCTACTTTAGATGAAAAAAGTGAGTTAAATAACTTCTTAATGCGAGAAACGCGGGGCTGGGGATCTAAAATGTGTTCTATAGTGTCAGGAGTATGTTTGTATTCCAGACACCATAGGGTTTCTTTAACATTTTTCACACCATATGCTTATGCAACAAATATAGCGCTCCATTTGCATACATTATAATCCCCCTGTTATAATCATATCCCCTTACTACAGCCCCTAATCACCCAACCCCACACTACATTCTCTTTCCCCAATTAAAACCCCTATACCCCTTCTACAGTGCCCATTCCCCCATTAGAGCCACTGTTGCCCATTATAGCCCTTATCTCCCTACTACAGAGCCAGCCCCACGTGCTACCACTCCTGTCCCCCCACTGAAGCCTCTTCACCCCCACATTACAACCCTTTCTGTAACACATGTATGTGGGCATGAAGTATATTTGTGTATCTTGCAAGTTGTGTTAAATGTTTTTTTTATTTCGTATGCATATTTATAGCGTACATATAACATGTTTAAAAAATTACTGGATCATCGCCTACGCAGAGGATCCATACGTCTAGCAAGGGCAGCAGTAAATGAGCCTACGCAGAGGCTAAAGAAGGTATTACTATGCAGATTCTTAGAATTGTGTGTATTATGCATGTGATATCAGGGTTGCTTTGAATAGTGGACTATTTCTTGAAACAAAAAGGAACAAAACATAGGTAACCATATAGGGGCCGTCGTTTAGAGTGCGGAAGATATATAATATTGATTATGCAGATATAGAGAAACATAGTTGCTGGGTGTGTGGTCATATAAGCTTGATCCCTTAAGGGGATTACCTGAGTGAGTGATTAATCAGTCAGAGTATCACTACCGTCTGAGGTATTACCATGTCAGGGTTAGCTTGGATGATCTGATTAGCGGCTGCACTGTACACACTGGTGTTTCATTTGTTGTGTTTAGTCGACTTGATATCAGTGGGCATTGGCACCCGGAGCAGTCCTGGTTAGAGCCATGAGACTAAGTACTTTTCGTATGATGTGTGGGTTTCAGGACCCTATCTGTGGAATCTTGTCTGGAGTGCATTGTAGTTGGCAGGTGCTTATATATGTATATGTATACGCTGCTTCTCAGCACCACGGTGTCTATGGTTAGTGTTGTCTGATATTTATTTAGGTGGTGGCAGTTATGTAGCTATGATAGTGCTTTTCATAGGTCAGCTGCCTCTCTGTATGGGGAGTCAGAATAGCAGAAATGGGTCTATTGTGTGCTGGCTCCCCCTAGTCTACTCATTGGGGTGCTGCTCTGTGTCCTAACGGGCTATTTTCCATCTCGGTTTGTTGTCGTTTAGTAGGATACTAAAAGTGAGTTGGGTAATTAATTAGAAACTGGTTTGAGTGCACTGCCGTGCGTGCCCATAGGTCTTGGTTTCTTGTCTCGAGGTGGTGGTGGTGTGTTTGTTGTCTGTAGGTGATGGGGAGTCCCCTGGCTTAGTGCTTGGGTTCTGAGGTGTGTGATTAGAGTATTATGTCGGGGTATCTGGGTCGTCGTTGGTGCTCATGGTTGTTGATCTGTATGTGGTGTCCTGGATTGGGGGGGTGAAGGGGGTTATCATGTGGGTAGGTGGGACCAGTGGAACTAACGTTTTGTGTAGTTGTCTCTGTGTTTCGGGGTAGTCGCTTTCATGTCTTCGAATTTCCTTGTGTCCTCTACTTCCTCGACCCATCATCGCATGGGTGGCGTACAGGTCTGTCTCCAGAAAATGGGGATGTGTTGAGGAGCCTCGGGATGATGGACCGAGTGTATGTCAGCGTTGGCATGGTGGTGTGATGGAGGAGGAAGGCGACTGGCGACCGTGGTAGGGATTCGTCTGTTACTTCTTGTATCACTTTTCAAATTGTCTCTCAGAAGGGTTGGATACAGGTGCAGCTCCACCAGATGTGTGTAAAGATGCCCACGGCCTCCTCGCAGGTGTCTGGGATCTGAGAGTCCCAGGCGTGGAGAGTCGATGGGGTTAGGTACCAGCTGGTGAGAATTTTAGAGGAATTTTCTTGTAGCCTCGCTGATCCTGGTTTTCTGCACAAGGGTAATGATTGTCCCAGTCGGCCTCTGTCCCAGGTCCTCCTCCAAGCGCCTAATGCATGGAGGCACCAGGAGCTATCTGTTTGTTCATGGCCGAGTATATCTGCAATATGGCCCGTGTTGGTTCCTGGTCTTGTGTGCACAGAAGTTCGAACTGCGTTGGTTCCCTCAGCAGGGAGGGCTTTTGAGGGATTGTTTGGGCATATTGCACGATTTGTGCCTGTGCTAGGGTGTGTGTAAATGTGTGAGGTTGGTCGGGGAAAAGTTCAGTCAACAGGAGGATGGCGAACGGGCGCTGGAAGACGTCCTTTATGCGCAGAGATTGGGCCCTGGTCCTGCGCCGGGAAGTCTGGGTTGCCTCTCAAGGAAAGTAGTGGGCCTGAATCTGTCATAAGGTACTGTTTCATGCCCTGTCTGTGCCAGATCTGAATGGTCGCTGCTACGAATGGGTTGAGTGGGTCTGTGTCTGTATGCATCTTTGGTGATCCACAGCAGGGTCCTTAGGTCACTGTTGGTCGTTTCTGAGTCTAGCTGGTTCAGGGCTCTGATGGTATTGTCCCGTACCTCTCTCCCTGGGATGAATCCCGTTTGGTCCGGTTGTACTATTGCGGGTAGCAGTGGTGCTAGACACGCTGCCAGAACACTGGCCATGAGCTTGAGATCCGTTTTCAGCACAGATATTTGGCGGTAGCTTGGGCACTGTGTTGGATCTTTACCCTCTTTAGGAAGAAGAGTGATATTCGCCAATGTGAACTGGGCAGTTGGTGTGGCCCCTTCCAGGATGGAATTGAGGGCTGCTTACAATTTCGGGTCTTGCCTTGCCTGTCTTCACCCTTTTGATAGCGTGTGTCAGTTCCTCGGTAGAGATAGACGTTTCCAGGCCTTCCCGGTCATTGTCTTCGAGTGTGGTCACATTTGCAGATTCCAGGTATTTCTGGATCCCTTCGAGCCTGGAGGGACATGGCTCCCCTGGTGCGTCCTGGTAGTAGGTATGAAACGCAGACAAGATTTGGTCCAGGAGGTGTAGGTGTTGCTGTTGCAGGCCCTTGATTTTTGGGATGTACAGTTGGGTTTTGCGTTGTTTGAGGAGGTTTGCCAGTAATCTCCCGCATTTATTTTCGTGTTTGTGTATCACATGTTTGAAGTGTTGGTATGAGTGTTGGATCGAGCGGTTCAGGGGTTCAGGGGTGTGGAAAGTTGATCCCGTTTGATGACCAGGTCTCTGTATATCGTCGCATCTAAGGTGTGTTTGTGTCTGGATTCCAGGGTTGCGATCTCCTTGCTGAGGTCTGCCTTTGACTGTATTGCTTCCCTCTTGCGGGTAGAGCATAGTGCGGTAAGCTGTCCTCAGATCACTGCTTTATGGGCTTCCCAGCACGTCAGGGGCGACGTATCTCCTAACTAGTTTTCTGTGAAATATTGCTGAATGGACTGTCTGGTCTTGTCCACCACCAGTGTGACTGAGAGGATCGACTCATTCAGTCTCTAAGAGGTTTGTTGGGGTCTGAACAGGGGACACTTCATTCGTATGCGGATTGGGCAGTGTTCTGACCATGTCATGGGTAGGATATCCGAGTCTTTGAGTAGAACAAAGTTGTGGTGGGGCATGAGGAAGTTGTCTAGCCTTGTGTATGTGAGTTGTGGAGTAGAAGGTGTATTCACGGGCCGATGGTTGTAGCGCTCGCCAGCAGTCTGCAAGTTGGTGGTGGTGGAGGAGGCGGAGCGTGTTGGCGTATCTGTTGTCAGGGCTGGGCCCTTGCTTGGTTGTCGAGTCCTGTTCGGGGTGTAGCGCCAGGTTCAGTTCTACCCCGATGATCAGGGTGCCTTCCTAGAATTTCATCAGTGTGTTGAGCATGGTGCAGAGGAAGTGATATTGTTTCAAGTTAGGGGCATACTGTAGAGATTGGCAAAGGTGTAGGTCTGATCTAGAATGATGCCTTTTGTGAAGACATATCTGCCTTGCTTGCACCTGATGGTGGCGTGTTCTATGTAGGGAATCCATCTAGAGAACAGAATGCTTACCCCTAGTGTGCGTCGTTCAGGGTTGTTACTAAAATATCCCATCTGAAAGTTGCGATTTTTCTTGTAGCGTTTAAGGTCCCACAGGAGTCTGGAGTGCTTTTCCCGGATGTTTAGGCCGTGGATGTTGTAAGAGATGATTGACAGGTCCTCCCGGGCAAACCGGTCCGCCCCGGGGCAGGCATCACCAGAGCGGCCAGAGAGGTGGAAGGGGGGGTTTGTGTGGCTGGATGGTGGTTAGATAAGTGTAGGGTGTCGCTGTTGAGACTGTATCTGGGTGCGGAACCAAGCCAACAATGGCTCGTACTGCTCCGTCAGACTCCTCGGCCCAGCGATATAGTGGACCCAGGTCGACTCTGGGGGTAGAGTCTCACCCCCCAAATGGGGGATCGCTATGTCCTGTCCCTGTGAGGGCAGCGGGTTGCCAGACTAGGGTGGTGTACCCTGTCCTGTAGTGTCTCACTATACCCTACAATTTAGTGGGGGTATGTCAGATTAGAGTATCCCGAGTATGTGGTATGTGATTACCTGTCTCCAATGTGGCTTTGAGTCAAGTGTGTCTGCTACACCTCTTGTTGTGATGCGTGTGTGGGTTGTCTGTTGCGTGTGGTCGGTCTTATAGTAGTGGATGGGTCTATTCAGACGTGGATCTATCTGCCTCGGCAGTATCTGTATGTAGATCTCTGGGGACTCCTGTGACGGACTATGGGGTTTTAAAATGTGGCTATTTGTTTAGTCCGAGTGGTGAGCTCAAACCTATTATTAGGATGAGCGGGTTGAGCGAGAAGGGCCGAAATGGGCCTTGAGGGGGTCAACTATGTGTGGAGATCCCAGGGGTGCCTATCTCAGCCTAGGTGTTTGTCTATAGTCTGGCTACACAGCGGGTGGGGTTCCAGCTATGGCTTTACTCTCTATTCCGTTGGGTTGTTCCCCTGTCTCCCGTGACCTATTCGCTATGTGGTATAGGGGTCTGTCATGTGGACGTGTTGCAGGGATAGTGGTGTGCCAGGCAAGTATACATTCCTAGTATATTAAGTACGGCATTGGTAGCAATTTGACATCAACCTTTGTGGCAAGTCAGCCAACTTGCTAAAGACAGCTCGAGTCTCCCCAGCGTGCCATTGGAGCAGGCCTGGACTGGCCATCAGGCACACCGGGCAAATGGTCCCAGGATCTCTCCTGCCGGTCTTTGCAGGGCCGGCACTATCCGAGCACCGGCCCTGCAGTAGTCCACGGCGTGCCGGTGGGGAGATCAAAGATCTCCCTCACCGGCCCACATGCAGGATACTGCGGCCGTTGGGGCAGAGAGGGAGGGAGCCAGCCTGCCAGGAGAGGAACCCGGCGGAACTCTATCTTGCAGCTCCGCCGGGTTCCTCTCACAAGATCCGGAGCGTTTTCATGGCAACGACAGGATCTCACGAGAGTGAACTCTAGCCTCACAGGCTAGAGTTCACTCACCACTAAGACCACCAGGGATGGATGGCAGCCCCAGCAGCAGGATCCCCCCTTCCAGGCATATGGTAAGCAGGGAGGGGGGATATATTCACCTAACTCACATCAGCCTCACAGACACCCTTACCACTTACAGCACCCTCACTCACACACACACACACACTCACACTCACTGCACCCCTGACACTCACAGCACCCTCACTCACACACACACACACACACACACACACACTGCACCCCTGACACTCACAGCACCCTCACTCACACACACACACACTGCACCCCTGACACTCAAAGCACACATACACACACACTGCACCCCTGACACTCACAGCACCTCACTCACACACACACACTGCACCCTTGACACTCACAGCACACACACACACACACACACACACTGCACCCTGACACTCACAGCACACACACACACTGCACCCCTGACACTTGCACAGCACCCTCACACACACACACTGCACCCCTGACACTCACAGCACCCTCACACACACACTGCACACCACCACACTAACACTCACAGCACCCTCACACACACACACACACTGCACCCCTGGCACTCACAGCACCCTCACACACACACTGCACCCCTGACACTCACAGCACCCTCACACACACACACAGCACCCTCACTCACACACACACTCACACACACACACACACACTGCACCCCAGACACTCACAGCACACACACACTGCACCCCTGACACTCACAGCACCCTCACTTACACACTCACATAAACTGCACCCCTGACACTCACAGCACTCTCAATCACACACACTGCACCCCTGACACTCACAGCACCCTCACTCACACACTCACACACACTGCACCCCTGACACTCACAGCACCCTCACTCCCACACTAACACACACTGCACCCCTGACACTCACAGCACACACACACACACACACACACACAGCACCCTCACTCACACACACACACTGCACCCCTGACACTCACAGCACACACACTGCACCCCTAACACTTACAGCACCCTCACATACACACACACACACACTGCACCCCTGACACTCACAGCAGACACACACTGGACCCCTAACACTTACAGCACCCTCACACACACACACACACACTGCATCCCTGATGCTTACAGCACCCTCACACACACACACACACTGCACCCCTGACACTCACAGCACACACACACACTGCAACCCTAACACTTACAGCCCCCTCACACACACACACTGCACCCCTGACATGCACAGCACACACTCACTGCACCCCTGACACGCACAGCACAGCACGCACAGCACACACTCACTGCAGCCCTGACACGCACAGCACAGCACGCACAGCACACACTCACTGCACCCCTAACACTTACAGCACCAACACACACACACACACTGCACCCCTGACACACACAGCTGCCTCATACGCACATGGCACCCTCACGCAAACACAGCACCCAATCACACACAGCACACACACACCGCACCCTTACCCACATAGCACCCTCACGCAAACACAGCACCCATCACTAACACACTACACTCCTCACACACACTGCACCCCTCACACACACACACACACAACACCCTCACACACACTGCACAATATGCTTTCCTGGCATTTTTGTCTCCTATGGAGACACCAGAGACAAATTTCAAGCTTGCATTGTGCAGAACAAGTACAGGGTCTTTTTCTCATGCCAGAGCTCTGCACATGGTCTACCCTGGAAGAGCATTGAACCAACATGCTCACTTTGTGATCTGGCCCCGCCCCCTTTGTAGTGAGCCGCTGTAATTAAAAAATGCCCGGGACGAATTTTCTTCCCAGTCCGGCCCTGCCTTGGAGTCACTGTGGCCTGGTGAGGAAGTGTCAGGTCTCGGGCCGTGGTGTGAAGGAAGGACCTGATTGATTGTTTGCCTCCCGGTCCCGTCAGTTTCGTGGTGCCAGTGGTTTCTGCCTGTCTCTTGCGACCCATCTTGGCTTGTGCGCTGGGTGAGGTGAGCGATATGATCGCTTATATAGCGGGTGCCATGAGGAGCTGTAGGTTTATGCGGCCATTTTCCACGGCAGCCAGTCACGCCCCTCGAACTGGAAAAATGTGGAATTTATTTTTAAATTAATATTTGAAAAACTTTGATAAATCTCCACCAAATGTATTAACATATGTGCTGTGAAGGGGTGTTTGGACAACTTGACCTCTCTATCTTGCAAGTTGGTGTGTACCATGAGTTGTCAGTCCGCTCTTGCTACAACCGCTGCTGATCTAATCACACCAGGGCTTCAGACATTCCAATAATGGAAATTGTTGCTATTGTGACACTGTAGCAATATTATACATTGAAACTGGTTAGTTAATTTTTATTTTTTTGTGTCTATATTTATGGCTACTTTACACTCTTTTTCACTTTCGATTTTATACAAGTACAGATGGGTTATTAGAGAACTACACCACAGCTATTTCAGCCGGTAACTACTATATCAATATAGCTCTATTTAATGACCTATTGAAATTATTTGTTGTTAATTATATGGTATGAACATGAGTCCACAACATTTGGACATTTTAATCCATGATCTATTAAAAGTGATGTTTTAAATAAATTTTTCACTATTCCACCTTTTCTAAACATTTTTGTGTTTTTCATCCTCCAATTCTCTTTTTGATCTGGGAAATACTTAGTTTAGGTAAAGTAAACTCAATTATCTCCTATACTTTTGCTGGAGACCCCATGCTTGTGGTCTGTGTATAAAAGTGGCCATCTAGTCATAATAAAAACATTCCTGTTGTACCCTTCATCAAGTCTCAACTGATGTTTGGGTATGCGAACGATGAAGCGCTTGATTTTCTGATGACCAACTTGGAT